GGGCTTGAGCCCCCCCCCCTTTTTCCCCTTCCCCCCAAGGGCCCTTTTGGTTTTTTTTTTTTTTTTTTTTGGTATTATTATTTCCTAAGCCCTCTTCTGACACATAGCATGTGCTAAAATTATTAGTTTTTTGGTTGGGGTTTTTTTGCACAACACAATAAGCCGGTCACCTTGTTACCTTTGACCTTTTGCCCGTGACGCATGACAGATAAGATAAGGCGGCTAACTGAAGCTAAACGTAGCGAACGTTCCAGATTACAGAACAGTTTTTGGTTAATTAAAAAAATAAAAAACGGTTTTGGTGAATAAAGTGGAGTAGACTTGCTACTTGTCAGATAACGGAAATCGTTTCTGCTTCAGCACGGAGTAGCGGTTTAAGCAGAGAGGTAATGAAATACAACAGACACTGACAGGCCTCTGCATCTGCCTCTCTCTGAAGAACTACTGAGCGGGAGGAGACAGGTGAGGAAAAACTGTTCTTATCTATCGATTCAGTATTTTTTATCATACAGACATTAGGCTGTTGTTGTTGTGCTATTAGCTAGCTGCTAGCTAACGACTTTGCTAGCAAAGCTAGATAACTAAAAAGCTTTTTCCCCTGTATCTTTAATGGTAGCAGTCATTCTTCAGTATTCTTCAGTATTCTTACAGGGGCCGCATTTCATTGGCTAATGCCCATTTCACGTCACAGCGCAGCTATGGAGTTAGATTTGTTTCACAATTATTCAATCAAAAAAAAAAAATCATGTCAAACAAAAAAAGTAGTATTCAACCAAAAAAAAAAATCATGTCAAAGCAAAAATCACTAAGTTATTTTTTTAAACTTTTTTTTCTTATTGGTTGAGTCTCTTTTTTTTGGTTGAAACTTTTTTTTTGGTTGAGTCTCTTTTTTTTGGTTGAAACTTTTGTTTTTGGTTGAGTCTCTTTTTTTTGGTTGAGTCTCTTTTTTTTTGGTTGAAACTTTTTTTTTTGGTTGAGTCGCTTTTTTTTTGGTTGAAACTTTTTTTTTTGGTTGGGTCCCTTTTTTTTTTGGTTGAAACTTTTTCTAAGTTTTTGGTTGAATTCGTTTTCTTGCTTATCCAACTTTATTTGCTTTGGCGAAGCTTACATGAACATTCTGGGCGGGGCTTAAGGACGAGCAATGTAAGACGTGTTCCTATTGGTTAGCGCTGACTAAAGCGGATGACTCCCTGAGGTCTCAGAGTTCTGTCCCGAACTGCAGGTCTTCGGTGACGGGACACAGAATGTGAATGGTAAGTAATCTTTACAAAATTACACCGTTTAGCAGCTTCTAAAGTGTCCACCCTTTTTCAAAGAAGAAAACTTACTCAACTTATGACGACAGTCACATATTTTGTCTGCCGTGATCCCCGGTAGCATTGTGCTAGCTAATGTTAGCACTAGGTAAAGTTCATAAACTAGGCTTGTGTAATATTCGCCTGTCTTTATGTTGAATTCGTTAACCAGCGCACCTCTGTCGAGTGGCATTAAGCGTGGAAAATACCAAATATATCTGGAGGAAATATGTGTTAAAAAACTGTTGCGCAATCCTCAGTGTGTGTGTGTGTGTGTATTAACTAGCATTGAAGCTAAAATGGGAAAACAGCGGATCGTTGCACCAATGTTATCAGGTCCACGTTAATCTGCACCACACGTCAAGTGACTGTGCAGATGATTTATTTACCAAGCACATAATCAGTGCTGTCGATGAGGGGAGGCAACGTAACTCTTAAATATATACATTTTCTTCCAGATGTAAAATGTAAAACTAAGCTGGTAGGTCACAGGCCGAAGGAGGATATTCACATAATTTCTGTTTTTTATTATTTGGTGGGTGTGTGTCCTGTACTTAGTTTTATTCCGAATTAGATGTAATATGCCTTTTGCTGTGTTATATTAAATTAAATTAAATTGGTGTTCTCCTAATTCCCCATTCTAGTATGACCAGCAGAGTGCAGCTGAAGCAGGACAGGCTTGTAGGTCTTACTGATTCCTCCAGCTGCTAGAGACGATCAGAGCATGAGGATGGAGAGACCAGCAAGTGTTGAGTCAGAGAAGGTCAGGTAGGGAAGGAAGTGTTGCTTTTAGGGGCCGGGTGTGTTTGGCTAAATATATTTCTCCTTTCAGCTACATTCAAAAAAGTATTCAGATTTTAACATGCATTTTCTACTTAAATATTTCAGTTTACTCTTTCTCAGTAACTTCAGTGTTACACCTCTGCAATATTTTTTTGCAGTTTCTCTTATTGTGATACAATAACTGTTTCACTTGAACATTTAATTTCCTGAGATATAGTCAATTTATTTTCAATTAAAACTCTTAAAAGACTTTAGGGCTTATTGGGTCTAGGTAAATATCATCTCTTACTCGTATTTTTTTTATTCATTTTTGTTTTTCAGGTTTGCGTCATAAAGCTTCTTGATGCGTTTCTGAGCCATGATTGAGACTCTCCATGATGTTCACCCAGGACAGAGAGGAACTCGTATCAACTCCACTCCATCGACCCCTTGAGACCTTCCTGTTGTTAAATTGCTTTTCCCTTGGATCCAAGCACCTGCACCTCGCTGACCAGTACAGTGACCATCAGTCCACAGTCAGCTGGATCATCACAACATTCAATAACTTTTTATTTACAATTAGGATCTGAAAACCGGAGGACCAGCTACGCAAAAATCTACCTGCAGATTTTAAGCAGCTACCCTGACACTGCAGTGATCCTGGACTGGGCTGAGCTGCTCTTCCTCTCACCTCCAGAGTGACAAGTTTTCATCACCAGTAAAGACAAACAAGTTTGAGTAACTGCTGGAAAGTGTATTATATATTTTCAGTGTTCATTTTGTTATACTGTTTGGACTTAAAATAAAATGTAATCTCTTTTGTAATACTCTACATTTTACAAACCTTTTTCCCTTATCTCAGTTGTAACATTATGTGAAGTATTTGCATGTAATTCGGCCTTCAAGCGAGATATTAAAATTAAACGCTTTCAAGTAATATTTCATCTTTTCTAAAACAAAATACAGAAAATACTTTCACAAAGTGGCTTTATTTCTGTCATTCCTCTTGTGAGTTGTATAATGGAGTGTTATGGCCAGGTTACAAGTATTTTTTTTTTTTACAAGTATTTTTAATTATGAGAATGCATCTTTAGGATCATAAAGATGCAATTTTACCAGAAGAACATCTTAAAATATGGGAAGTCATTTTATGGAGAAGTCTTGGCTCCCTCTGACGAAACCAGCTCAGTCCAGGTGGTTCCGATACATTCAGTGGTTAAGAGGATCAATTGGCCGCCAGGTAAGGATTGATGTCAAAATAAACAGAGCTACTGATGTAGGAGTATTTTCCATGTTGAAGAAAAGCAAAGTTTATAATGGGAGAGGGAAAATGATGCGTTTAGGTCAGCCGATGTCTCCATCCAGGAAGCCACTAAAGCCAAACAGAACTCCAGTCCAGCTCCAGCTGCAGTGAGGATGAAAAAGGGAGAAATAACCGAACGTTAACATGACAGGGAATAAACCAAATTGGGTAATTCGCTTTTAATGTGTTCCAGATCCAAAAAGAAAAAGCTCTGATATAAACTTGTTTATTTATTTCTGCCAGGATGTTGGTGGTAATTTTTGTATTTTTATTACAATGTATCATTAACACATAAGCATGCATTATTTTTAAAACCAATAAATAAACTGACTTGGAGAAATATATTTAGCCAAACACACACGGCCCCTATAAGCAACACTTCCTTCCCTACCTGACCTTCTCTGACTCAACACTTGCTGGTCTCTCCATCCTCATGCTCTGATCGTCTGTAGCAGCTGGAGGAATCAGTAAGACCTACAAGCCTGTCCTGCACCAATTTAATTTAATATCATAACACAGCAAAAGGCATATTACATCTAATTCGGAATAAAACTAAGTACAGGACACACACCCACCAAATAATAAAAAACAGAAATTATGTGAATATCCTCCTTCGGCCTGTGACCTACCAGCTTAGTTTTACATTTTACATCTGGAAGAAAATGTATATATTTAAGAGTTACGTTGCCTCCCCTCATCGACAGCACTGATTATGTGCTTGGTAAATAAATCATCTGCACAGTCACTTGACGTGTGGTGCAGATTAATGTGGACCTGATAACATTGGTGCAACGATCCACTGTAGCTTCAATGCTAGTTAATACACACACACACACACACACACACACACACTGAGGATTGCGCAACAGTTTTTAACACATATTTCCTCCAGATATATTTGGTATTTTCCACGCTTAATGCCACTCGACAGAGGTGCGCTGGTTAACGAATTCAACATAAAGACAGGCGAATATTACACAAGCCTAGTTTATGAACTTTACCTAGTGCTAACATTAGCTAGCACAATATGCTACCGGAGATCGCGGCAGACAAAATATGTGACTGTTGTCATAAGTTGTGTAAGATTTTTTCTTTGAAACAGGGTGGACACTTGAGAAGCTGCTAAATGGTGTAATTTTTGAAGATTACTTACCATTCACATTCTGTGTCCCGTCACCGAAGCCCTGCAGTTCGGGACAGAGTTCTGAGATCTCAGGGAGTCATCCGCTTTAGTCAGCGCTAACCAATCGGAACACGTCTTACATCGCTCGTCCTTAAGCCCCGCCCAGAATGTTCATGTAAGCTTCCCCAAAGCAAATAAAGTTGTATAAGCAATAAAACAAATTTAACCAAAAACTTAGAAAAAGTTTCAACCAAAAAAAAAGCGACTCAACCAAAAAAAAAAAGTTTCAACCAAAAAAAAAAGTTTCAACCAAAAAAAAAGAGACTCAACCAAAAAAAAAGTTTCAACCAAAAAAAAGAGACTCAACCAAAAACAAAAAAAAAGTTTAAAAAAAAAACTTAGTGATTTTTGCTTTGACATGATTTTTTTTTTGATTGAATACTATTTTTTTTGTTTGACATGATTTTTTTTTTGATTGAATACTACTTTTTTTGTTTGACATGATTTTTT